AGATGACCCCAGCAGTGCCATGGGGGGTGACCCCGGTCTGCTCCCTGTGTGTGGGTGGGTTTGTCACCCACTCCCCACTCGTGGGGGGCTCCAAAGCAGCTCAGGAGCTGAGGGTGATGCTGCTGTGTCTGCACTGGGATGCTCGTGGCAGATCCTACCTGCGTCAGCAGCTGAATTCCCTGCTCTCATTCCCGCTCTGGCAGCGCCTTAACCCTTTCCTGCCAGCCTGAGCACGGCCTCCGTGGAGCTTGAGTCAGGGCAGCTGTGACCCTCTGGCTGTGGCAGCCAGGCCTGACCCTGGCCCCACAGACCTGCAGGAGGCCAGGGTCTTGCAGCCTGGGGAAGCTGCTCCACACCCGGCTCTCCTGCACCCTTTCCGTGGCACCCCTTCCCCAGCCTGTCTGGGCTGCACCTCCACTGGGCTGGGGACTCCCATGGTGTGGGGCTGCTACAGGGGTTGGGACCCTCTGTCCCACTGTGCCAGCAGCACCTTCCCAGTGCTCCTGCTGCGCTGGCACTGGGGCAGATTATCACCTTGGCAGAGGGCCTAAAGGCCAGCTGCTGTTTGGGCTGTTCCCAGGGTTTCCAGTCACTGCTGGAAATTTTTCAATGCCCACCCTCACCTGCAAGATGCAGGAATTGGGTTCCTGGAGCCAGGACCCAGCTGCCAGTGCTGATTTGGGCCAGGCAGCCCTCTTGATGGGTGCCCTTGCTTCCTTGCACAGGCAGAACCAAAGGGCTCTCTGCCTTCACTCACAGCACAGGCTCTGCCCGGTGCCGAGGGCTCAGGGTCATGCAGGGGGTTGGGATCACTCTACCAAGGTGTTTACTATATCCCAGGGCCCCCCCCTTCCCTGTGTCTCCTCTGCAGAAACCTCTGGAGAGCAGAGAGGATGTTGGCAGATGCCCATCATCCAGCACCTCCCCAGCTGCCTCTGCCACTGCCAAGGTGAGTCGAGCCCCGGCCGCAGACAGAAGCAGCTGAACTTGTTTGTGGTTTCTGAAAGACAAACTCAAGCCAAACAAAATCAAAAATCCCAGGAAGAGTCCTTAGGCTGCTCCTTCTGCTGCTTCTTTGCCACACAGAGCAGGACCTTTGGCAGGGTCTGAACTTGCTGAATTTTGAAGGATCTGGTGTATTAGGGCTCTGCCGGGGCTGCCTCAGCCTCTGTTTTCCTTCCAGGTGCTGTGAAACCCCATCACACATTGTGTTTGTGTTTAAATGAGTGAAATAAAGGGCATGCAGAGCCCAAAGTGCCGCACTCGGGCAGGGCCGGGCAGCGCCCACGGCGGGATGTGACCGTGAGCTCTGGCTGGCCCGACTAGTCTATTTTTGTGACCCAAGCAGAGCGACCCAGGGATTAATCAGCCAGCCCAGGGGGACAGGCTACGTGTGGTTTGAAATTCTTTGGTGCTTGTAATAACTCAGGTGAGTCTCTTTGTTCTTGTGAACTGTAATTTTTCATTTGACAGGCAGCGTCATGCGACAGAACAGCCCAACAGCCACATCCAAACACACCCAGCCCGGGGAAGCGGGGCCGAGCCCCCCCACCTGCCCATGCTCTGCTCACAGGTGCTGATTTCCCCAGTGGACCGAACTCCAGGGGTGGCTTGGCTGGACATCGCTGCCACCTGCGTGGTCAGTGCTCAATGCCAAGGTCGAAGGGAGCCGATCCATTGATCCCCTCCCGCTCGCCCACATGTGGGATGGCTCCGTGCCCCCTCCCAGCCCCGGGATGGACCGGGGCAGTTCTGCCCTCTCCCCCCGTGCCCAGCAGCAGCCCAGGCACCCCGGGACCTGTCATGGCAGCACAGCCCCGTCTCCACCCGGAGGTGTCGGGCTGTGCAGGGCTCTGCTCCACTCTGGGTTCCCGGGGCAGGGATTGGGTTCCCGCTGGGATTATGGAGCGCAGCGTTACCACGGGAGTGTTACCACAGGAGCGAGGACTCGCTTTTCTTTCCTCCCTGCTCCCCTTCCCCCCGGCAGCGGGAGGCAGGAGGATGTGTCAGCTCAAGGCTGAGGCTAAAGAGGCTTACGCTGACTATTTACCTTCGCAAGGGTCTATTTTTGGCTGCTCAGCTGCCGCTAATGCAACGCTCAGGGCGGTGACCGAGGAGACGCCACGTGAGGGTCACTGTTTCTAGGATCCACTTTCCTCCTCTGTAGGGACCAAGCCCAGCTGCTTTTTTGTTCCTTGTTTTTTTTTCAGATGGCAAAGAGTGTGTTACAAGGGAAAATCTTGTAGGGATAGGTCAGAAGGACCTCGGAGACCCACTGTCCTTTCATCGCACTGGAATCCCATGGTTGCTCCTGACCCTACCCCAGGTGCTGCCAGAGAGTTCCAAGTTGGCTCCACAGACCCCTGTCTCCCAAAACAAGCTCAGAAGGTTGTGACTCTCCAATGAGAGTTAAATGGCATCACAAGCTAATGAACAGGCTGGAATTGGGTCACTGGGATGTGAGCACTGCTGGTCATTGGGAGCAGCTGGGGACCTTTGTTTCCCTGACTGTGGCAAAGTGGGGTCAGTGTGTGCCAGGGGTTCAGGAGGCTTCGATGGGGAGCACAGACACCTGAAGTCTCCTGCTGGCAGCAGGACCCTCAGGGAACAGCAGGCACAGGAGAGCTGGCTCAGGCTGGCACACCAATCCCAGCCATGCACTGCCAGAGCTGAGCCCCACTTCAAACAGAACCCAGCTTATTCCACGTGCTGGAAAACTGCAGTGCAGAGTCTTTAACTAAACGAATCCTGAGTGATTTCCACACTGCTGAATGACATTTTAATAGTGGAAAAATAATGCTCCAAATTATCTACTTCATCTCTTCCTATTGTCTTTTACTGGCTGGGAACGAGTGCTGCAGCAAAACCAGCTCCGGCTCTTCTGGGAGGGGTTTGCTGGTGCCTCCCAGCCCTCTGTGGGCAGGGAGGAGCTCAGGAGGGGGCCGTGTCCCCCCATGCCCAGCACCCCTCGAGCTGAGGAGGGGGCTGTTCTCCCCCTGTGCCCAGCATGCCACGCTTGGCAGAGCTGCCCACGTGCTGCTGCTCCTCACAGCGCTCCCGGTGAGCTCCGGCTGCCCTGGCACTGCGGGTGAGCTGTGAAGGCCTCGTGGCCATGCCCGTCCCACACCAGGAGGCAGGTGGTAGCAGGCAGTGCCCGGCCCCTGCTGTCCCCACAGGGAGCTGGCGCCTGTCCCGGTGCCACCAAGCTGCTCTGCAGGAAGATGCTTCTGGCACTTTCTGCCGTGCAGTTCTTCTGACCCGAATTCAGCCACCGCCACATTGAGCTTCCATCTGGATGGATCCATCCAGTGCTGCCACACGTCCCCAGGCTGACATGAGTGGGGCCTGGGGGCAGCAACGCAGCCCCAGCACCCACCACGTCCCTGAGTGGTTCCAAAACGAGCAGCTCAAGCTGGGGACGGTGCCTGGCCAAGCGCTGTCCCTGCCTGTGAGGTGCAGCTCCCAGCCTGCACAGCAACAGACACACAGAGGCCTCACACAAACTTTATTATTCACTGAAACATCATAAATCTCGATGAACTCCCTGCCCCAGAGCAAAGCAGCCTCAGCCCTTACAGGAGGTGTCACCTGCCAAAGCCCAGCTCACTTCGGAGCCGTGCCATCCTGCAGTGGGTTTCCCCATTGCTCTCATCCAGGGGAAGGTTTTCATCCTCTGAATTAAAGGCACACAAAGTGGGAGCCAAACTGTCCTTCTGCCACGCAACAGCCAGCCCTCAGTGTGGTGCCTGCAGTGGGGCAAGGCTCCTTCCCCTTAGGAACACAGCGTGCCCTTGGCTTGTGCTGGCTTCACACGGAGCATCCCAGCTCCAGCCTCACTTCCCAGCAGGAACGGGGCACGTGGGTAAGGCCTTGCAGAAGGATTTTGGGAGAAATGTGCTTGTCAGGTGCAGGAACCCCCCCAGCACTGCACGAGGACAAAGGGGTTCCACAAGTGCTACTGAGGGTACAAACGTGCCTGAGAGGCAGAGCTGGAAGTGAGCACAGCCTCACCCAGCCTGCCCAGGACAGCTGTGTGGAGGAAGTGAGAGGGAGCAGGACGGCCAGGAAAGGCTGCAGACCCCCCAACACTGCTGTCACCTCATCTCCTTTTCCATTCTTACAAGGAAACTGTTCCCCTGGCTCTGTTTGGCACAAACACTGGCTCAGGACACACCTTTGGAGGCCACTGAATTTGGTAAGGACCTTTGGCAACAGGGCTCAAAGCCCCAGCTCCACTTCTGGTTGGCAAATTTTATAGCAGACAAGAGGAGAAACACGCTGTCCTTTCAAAAATACCCCAAGGGAAACCTTCACCAGAAAGAGCTCAGCAAAAACGGCTGCAACAAGGCAAGTTTTGTTTTCACTTTGGGATGGGGAACAGGGTGCACCACTGGCACCAACTGAACAGCCTAAAGCCCACAGTGGAGTGGATGTGCCACAGCCTGTGGCAGTGACAGACAAGGACAGTAACTATTCAGTAATTGAGGAGAGCCAAGGGAAACACAATGGGAAACATACTGGAAACAACAGACTAAAGTGTCTGAAGTCTGTAGTTGTCAGCATAAAGGAACAGCTTTGCTGTAATGTCATAGAATCAGAAAATCACACAATTTTTTGGTTTGGAAGGGACCTTAAAGCTCATCCAGTTACACCCCTTGCCATGGGCAGGGACACCTCCCACTAGCCCAGGTTGCTCCAAGCCCTGTCCAACCTGGCCTCGGACACTTCCAGGGATCCAGGGGCAGCCACAGCTTCTCTGGGCAACCTGTGCCAGGGCCTGCCCACCCTCTCAGGGAAGAATTTCTACCTCGTGAAGAAGAAACTTTGGACGGTGTCTGTGAAATACCCCAGCTCAGAGCAGCAGTGCTGTGAGACCCGGGGCTGTACAATTTCTGTACAAATGGAAAAAAAAATATCACACCAGCCAGAATATCCGATAGAAAAGGCCCGAGACAAGACCTTGAGCTGACCAGTCCTTCCTTGCCGACAAAGCAGACACCTTCCCTGCAATCCCAATGGTCTGCAGATTTATTTTTGGCAGATGATAATTAAAATGGTCTCTATGGCTTTAGAGAGCAGCCCCGTGTTGCACGTGCTGGTTGAAGCGGAGAGCGCACGGTGAGCTCCGGGTGCCTCGCCCAGCTCTGCTCCTGCCCCGGCCCCACCAACGCTGCCTGTGCACTTGGCTCTCTGCAGCGCTCTCCCTTCTCATCAGCAAGTAAGAAAGTTCTGGTTGATAACCAGTCCAGTCCCAGAGGCAGAATAAAAAGTCCTTGATAAGACCTAGAAAAGCTTGTTTCTAACAAAACCAAATGCAAACATGTGTCAACAGTTCCTGGGTCGATGCCTTTTGCTCAGGTTCCACCATCCATGCACTGGAACTTGCTTCCCCTGTAGAGCAATTTAATTCCTCTTCCATTCCCCACCTTTCAGTCTTCTCAGGAATCTTGACAAGCTATTCCTCCATTTTCATCTTCAACATTTTTTCCTATGCACATCCTTCCTGCCCGTCCCTTCCGCCGTCACACCCTGTTCCTCTCAGCTATTTTCGGAAGGCAAAGACATCCCGTGTTTTCAGGCCTTTCTTGCCTTCACTTCCTGGTCTAGGAGAAGACACTTCCACCAGCCCTCCGTACGGGCAGCTCTCGGACTTGGGGTGATGGCCGGAGCACTCCACGGCGGGGATGAAGCCACTGTCCCACATCCCTGTCCCACACAGCCTGCAGAGGTCGTGCAGGCTGCAGGGGATGCGGGGGAGCAGGTGGAACTGATAGAGCAGACTCCTGGCCTAGAGGGCAGGGAGAGAGGGAAAACATTCACTCCTCACTGGGAGATGAACACGGAAAGCTGAGGTGGCCCGTGGCTTCCTCTCCCATCCTCCTGTTTGGCTACCTGAGCTTCAGCAAAGGCGTGTCCCTCTGAACACAGAGCTCAGGGTTAACTGGGACAGTGGGACGTCGCAGGGGCTGCCAAAGGCCACAGTTCATCCCACAGCTCCATCACTCCAGCTGAGATGGAGTGGGGATAACAGCACCAACTGCTCTGTCTGCCCTTTCCCTGACCATGGGCATGGGTTATCCCAGCCAAGGGTTATCCCAACCATACTGTCACCTCCAGGCAAAGAGCAGCATCCCACCCTCCTGGGCTCCAGCCAGGCCCAGGGATACAGGCAATGAGAAGCTGAAGCATCAGTCCCTGGTTTCCTCAACACCCTGACTCATCCCTGGACCCGAGCCTCAGCCCCTGGGTATTTACCTTCCTGAGTACGAGCTCCCCGTTCATGTGCATGGCCAGGTTGCTGAAATGCAGCAGCATCTGATCAGTGGCCAGCTGTTGTTCAATGACATCATCCCCGTAAATCACCACGATGGCCACGCAGATAAAGAGGTGGAAATAGTCTGTCTGCAATGAGAACACAGGGGCTGCTGTGCAGCAGGTGGAGGCAGAGCTCTGGCTTCACCTCCCACCCTCCACAAGTGGGTCCTTGGTGAGAATTTTTGCTCTCTCCAGTTCTGCCCAGTGGTGAGAACGTGAGTTACTGGTGAATTCTGGACCACAGATGATGAGCCAAAGGCTCTTCTCTTCACAGCATGGCAGCAAAGTTTGCACCACAGTGTTCAGAGCAGACCAGTGATTTTTGGGAAGACATTTCCCAGCTGTGTAAGAGAAGCCTGAACTTCATAAGTGGGTGTTCAGTACTTTGTGAAACACCTCCTTTTGAACCCCGGACATCCCCAAGGAGAGGCAGGAGCAGGGCTCCATCCTCCTGCTACACAGATATAGTTCTTCTATAGTTACAAACCCTCTGTAACACTGATTTATTTTGGCTACTTTGCTACTAAGAGGCTTTATGGGAACCCTGCAGTGCCTGCTGAGGGGCACGGACCATGCCCTGCCCGTGCCAGCTGCCTCACCTGGTAGTGAGCCCAGCAGGCCTCCCACATGCGCAGGGCCTCGGCCTCCGGGAACTCCCGCTTGAAACAGAGCAGGATCCAGCGGTGACAGAAGAGCATCTGCAGGCCATCCTCTCCCAGGGCACAGAGGTGCTGGTAGAAGCGCGGGTGCATGAGCCGCAGCAGCTCGCGCAGGTACAGCTGGAAGGGACGCTTTGAGCTGAGGCCCTGCCTCGGGCACGAGGACTTGTACCCCCCTCACCACCCCTCGGCACCCCGAGGACCCCCACGCTGCAAGCCAGAGCTGGAGAGTTCTCTTCCCTCCCAAAAAGCTCCAGCCCTGTGGCCTGTTTAGTACAGCACAGCCAGGAGCACGCTTGGGTCTATCACCAAAGGCCAGAGCTCATGGGCCACAGCAGCTATTTCCAGGAAATATGGATATAATTGTGCTGGGAGTGCCCCAGTCACCCAGGAGCAATTCTATGCATCAGTTATTTCCATAGAATCATAGAATCCCAGAATATCGTGTGTTGGAAGTGACCCACAAGGATTATCCAAGTCCAACTCCTGGCCCTGCACAGGACAACCCTGAGGATCAGGCCAAGGATTTTGTGGCTTTGGAGCTTGACTTTGCATACTGGAACCCGGGGAACTGCTTTTTGTGACTGGGGAGAGGAGACTGACAGAGAACAGGATCCCAGCATTCACCCTCACCAGCTGCTTCTCCATGTCCTCATCCCGGGGGGAGCTGATGAAGATCGTGTTCTGCATCAATCCAACAAAGCACCAGAAAGTATCCGACTCATCCAGGATCTCTGCCAGGAGTGGAGCAACCAGGTCGGACATGCCCTGGGAGTATCCAGTGGCTGGGTTAAATACTGCATAGTTCAGCAAGATCCTCCTGGAGCAGAGACACAAACAGGGAGGTGGGACAGGTGAGGGCAGGTGACAGCTGAGCACAGCCCCATCCCTTCACCCCAACTCTCACCACACAGGCTGAGCCAGGATCAGTGCAGGAGAGTCACAGATCCTCTGACATCTAACACATTAACTTTTGAGCACCTTTTGTTGCATCCCACTTTCCCTAAAAGAACTGTATCTGGAAGCACAACAAAGATACACTGACACTGTACATAGCTGTGACTCTCACTTTTTACAGGTCCCACCCCTTGGAGCAGACTTGGGTGTGCTCATCCTCCATCCCATCAGAACCACAGACCCAGGCACCTGCACACAGCCCTGCACAGCACCCCTGTGTGTGCAGGGAAGGTTGGGGATGGGAGCAGGGTTATTAGAGAAGGAAATGGCTACAGAAACACTGGAAAGGCTTTATTGTTGCATCCCTTGATTCCAGTCAGCAGGTGCACAGTGGGTGCTGTTCAGCATTCCCAGGCAGCCCAGGACTGGCTGACCGAGTTGTCCATACGCTTGGCAGGACATGTTTGGGTTTGGCACCAGACCCTTCACCTCATGGTTTCCACGTTGGGGTTGTCCTCCCCTCGGAAGAACTGGTTGCTGCGGTCAGTCCTCACAACGTCCTTGTCCACCGTGAACTGCACCTGACGCCAGAAATCCTTCTGTTCATCCGGAGTCATGGACAGCCTGCAAGTTGAGCAGCAACAGGAGACCATTGCCAAGAGAGGAGTGAACAAAAAGCCTCAGTTCAGTCATTTCAGTCTTAGTTTGCAGAGGAAAACTATTCCTGTACAGCGTTTTCTCAGCACCTGAAGAACGGACAAGCAGGTCTGTCCAGAACAGCGGATTGTCTGTCCCAAGGGATTACTAGAGGGAGCCTCCTGGGTTATAAACGGGATGACATGATGTGTTTGCTGTGATACACACCTCAGAAGCATCCGACTCTGCTCTCCACTGCTTCTTGGGGGTGGCACACCTGAACTCACTCTGGTTTGATTGTTTCCTAATTAATACCACCACTGTCCCTCTCCAGCTTAAATGTACCCACAGCTATTTAACAACACATAGTTCTTGCAGTAACAACCTCCTTAAATTAGATATCCCTCCTCCTTCCTTATTTTTATGTGTAGTTTTATTTATAAAGAAATATAAGATCCCAATTTCACCTTCAGTGTTCTAACTCAAGCCTTGCCTGTGAGATGTTTCCCTGTGTGGTACTGACGAGCCTGTTTCAAAAACCCAAGTGAGCTCTATGGTTCAAATTATTATTATCAAATTATTATTAGTTCCAGAGCCTCAGGAGGTCAGCAGTGCCCGATACACCTCCTTCACTGTCCCTATCACTTCTTTACTCCAGCTTCTCCTGATGCAAAGGAGGCAGAGACAGCACATCACCAGCAGTGTCACTGCGATGTCCAGCCTGCGGAAGATGAGCAGGGGAGGGTGATAATGGTCTGTTACCTTTTCTCCTGGATCTCAAAGTATTCTTTCCTCTTCTGCAGCCTCAGTGCCTCCCTCTCTTCAGAAGTGGACTCGTAGCTGTAGTAGTGCAGCAGAAAGGGCCACACCTCCCCACGGATGGAAATATCAATCCCACCGAAGAAAATGGCCTGGAACAAGGAGCAAAAGTTATGGCTGGTACAGTTTTAACATTCCCAAATACAGCAACAAGGAACTGCCCGCTGCTGTGCTTTGGTGCCTCTGCAGTTCTTTCCTGACAAGTGACGCCTTGATTCAAGCTCCTGCAATTTGCACATGTTTAGAGGGAAAGTGCTGGCCCTCTATTCCCAGACCAGACACAAATCGGGCTCATTTCAATGTCAATAACCACCCCCGGAGAGGCTCTATGATTAACGTGTCGTTCTCATGTCACGGCTTAATCCCCAGTCCCGGAGACACCGCACTGCACTGCAAACTTCTCTCTCAGAGCCCGGGCCCAGCGCTCCCCCTGTGTTATTTCATACAGCAGTGGCAGCTCCTGCAGCAATCCCAGTTCACACAGCAAGCCCAGTTCATACATCAGTCTCAGTCCATACATCAAGCCCAGTTCATACATCAATCTCAGCTCACACAGCAGTCTCCAGTTCTCTCTGTGGTTTGGTCACACATTCTGCAAACACCGTGGGCATTGGGCACTTTGGTTTATTGATTCCAAACGGCAGCAGAAGTGGGACAGCTTGTCCTTGGTCATGGATGGGAGATGCTCCACCATCACAGAATCACAGAACAATTGGGGTTGGAAAGGACCTCTGGAGACCACCCAGTCCAACCCTCCTGCCGAGGCAGGGGCACCTGGAGTAGGTGACACAGGAACACGTCCAGGTGGGAGTCTGCAGGAATCTGCTCCAATCCCACAGCAAGATCTCCAGCCAAGGCTTCCTACACCAGCCTCCACACTCCCAGTTCTTGCCCCCGGCAGGAAAGCAAACTCCTGCAGCTTCCCCCTGGGGACTTGCACTCTGCAGCAGGAGAGAACAGAAGAAAACCTCTCACCTTCTGCAGCTTGTACTCCTCTTCCACCTGTCCGGATTCGTTCAGGTGATGGAGCCAGGCAGACACGTCGAGGCGCCTGTACGTGTTCTCCTCGGGGTGGGTTTCCGAGGAGGGCAGCTTGGGACGGCGGATGGAGAACTGCATACAGGTTTTCTCATCAGCGAGCTGCTGAACGGGGAAAACAAACCAAAACTGGAGGCAGGAGCCAGAGAGAGCAGCAGAGTGTGAAACCCAGAGCAGGGAAACCTCTCTGTGTGGTTCATGTAGGATTAAACACCGAGGAGCTGCACTTGGGGAGGTTTTGGCTTTTTTTTTTTTTTTAAATTCCAACCATTACAATAACAAGAGTGATTAGAATAATTAAAAATCTGAGCACCACAGAACAGCTTCATCTTAAAAAAAAAATAGTTTCCATTCCTCCTCCAATCTTATCCCTGACCTGAAACTGAATTAATGCTGCTTACAGCAAAACTTCCCCCTGCCAGGAATGCTTGCAATAAATTACATATGATTGGCCATATACAAAGGGATTGCTGTTAGGCAAGCGGGGAACGGCGCTGCCAGGCTCTCTGAGGGCACTCATGATCCCAGTGCAAGACTGCAGCTGACATTTAATTTAAAAATCAAAGGTTGCTCAATGTAAAAAGTGAGCCCATGTGACCATAATAAGAAAAGCAGCGGGGGGCTCTGTGGGAAGGATGGAAATTTAAAAATCACTGTTTCTAATAAGCACATACAATATCTTAAACAGATAATTAAAGAGCTCTTATCACATTTGTATGTAGATTGAACAAAATATGGCAAGATGCGTTGTCAAAACATTCTCCAAAGCTGTGAGCTGTGTGCCATAAGATGGATGAAAGGCTCTGACTGAATTTCTGACCTACCACTGCAGATTTCCAGCCACCTTCCACGCCTAAAGGGCAGTGCTGACCTGTCAGCTCTAGCAAAATCACTACCTAAGCAAGTCTTCTGGATGATCTTCCCCCACATTCCACAGGTGGAACAGGAATGGATGGGGACAAGCAAGTCCAAGAGAGACCTCACGTCCGGCTCAGAGTTCCATCCTAAACATCCAACACATTGCAGCTTTCTGCACGACTTGGTGACATGAACTCAAAGCTTCATTTCTCCAAAACACAAACCCAAGTGGGAAACATCTGCTGGAAAACCCCTCTTTGCCCCAAGAACCTCGCTCAGGTACCTGGTCCTTGAGATGGGTCTCTGTGCAGTACTTCCACTGCTGAAACACCTCGGAGAGTTTATCCAGGCCACCGTGGTGAAAATGGAAGATCTTGTACTGGCTCTCCCTGCTTGCAACCACCAGCTGCCCACAGGTGCACGCCTCGTCACTGCAGGGAACAACAGGAGAACAACCTGCATGGGCTGCCCAGGGCAGCAGGAACGGGGACGCTCTGGTGAGAGAGAGTGCAAAGCAAATCCCAGCGGGCAGCACCAATCTGCCCCTTCCAACAGGGCACAGAGGCAGCTTTACAGCCCTAGGACTCGGTGATCCTTATGAGTCCCTTCCAGTTGAGATATTCTGTGACTGTTTGACATGGCCATAGTGACCATTTTCCCCAAGAAGCTCCACTAGTACCTGGTAACGGCACTATTTTTACCCTTCCTTCATGTGAAGGAATTAAAATTTGTCTTGCCTGGAGACAAGTACACAAGAAGTCTGCTCCAGAAACATTAAGGCAGTACACAAAGTCAGCTCCTGACTGTACACAAAGTCAGCTCCAGAGGAGCCTGGTGAGAGGCAGGCAAAGGAAAAGGTACCACAGGTAAAGATTTTTTCCCACACCTGCAGGTTATTTGGAGCATTTTTGGTAAGACAGTTAAGAGCACCCTTTACCTTATTAGGAAAAAAATCCTTTTGGTCCCATAACAGTAATTCAGAGTCTCTCCCTGGGAAGGCTGACGCTTGCTTTCCTGGAGACAACCACTCTGGAAAGGCTTCCAAGGAGGACTGCAGAAGCCATCTGCCCCCAGCATCCCCAGAGCCCTGAGCCAGAGCACACACAACTCTCACACACAACGATCCAGTACCTGAAGAAGAGACGAAGGGATCGCATTTGTCCCAGGTCCACTCTGAAGACACCACAGACCTGCTCGAGGGCAAATACCTTCTGCTGTTCATCCCATCTGGCGCTCTGTGTTTGCCCATTGTTCTCCTGGAACTGGGCACTGGTGTCGAGGCTGGAGGCAGAGCTGGTGGAGCAGGTCATGCGATTGTCACACGTGTCCCTGCGGACAGAGCGCGGGGGCGAACACCCCGCAACACATCAGCCCTGGGAGGCTGCAGGTACATGCAGCAACCACGTCCAAAACCTTTAGTCAGAGCTCTGAGATGGGGATTCAGGGCAGGCCCGAGGAGCCAATAACTGACAGCCCCTGTAAGAGGTTATTTTTATTTAAATTGATTCCCTATCATCACAAAAAACATCCTGGTTTTGGTCTGTTCCAAACTGCACACAGAACTTTGGCAGAGCCAAACCCATTCCTCAAAACACTTTTGAGAAGGCAAAATTAAGAATCTCAAGTAATGCCCTCAGCTCAGCTGCTCCTCACTGGGATGGGGACAGGAGGTGTGAGTACATTCCGACGGCAGCACGGACCTGGGATCTCATTTGGGAAATTCCCTCCATGACCGGTAAGATCCAAAGATGTTTCACCTGAACTCCAGTTTCTCATTAGGTCTTTGCAAGTGAACCTGCCAAGCCTGGATTTGTGTCTATAAACCCCAAATGGTTTCCACTTGCAATCTTGAAACTTCGGGGAGTTAACGATGGGAAGTCACACCTGAGCTCTTCGACGCACCACAGGTACAGTAAATGAACCCAACCCTTTCCCAACCCAGCCCAGATCTCCAGCTTTAAATGCAAACTGAGCTTAGACTCAAAAAGCCCACATGCCCCCACCAGCCCCGATCCCAAAAGAAAAATACCACCGCTTTGGGAATGAAGTGAATGTGAAACTGTGACCCCTCGGTTGGTGAAAAGGCCAATGCACGTGAACAATCCCCGCGCGGGGCTGAATGGGCTGCGCTGTGAAATCAGGGCTTGCCAGACAAGGCCAGGAGCAGGTACAAAGCAGCCCCCTGCAAGGCCACTTTATGCCATGTTTTCTAATCCGCTTATCCAACAATGTGGGCACTGAAGGCTGGGAATCACACACTCAGCATGCACTCCACACCAGTGTGCCTTCCCAGCCTGGCTCCAGGGCCTCTTCCGCAGGGACCAGCCCTGTGTGCCACATGTCCCCATGGGCCAGGTCGTTGCATTCCAACGGACAGGGCTCTGCACAACCCAGTTAGTTGTGGGTTAAATTTTTAACCAAGGCCCTTTAAGCCACCCCATTCTAATGTGTAACTCAAACTCCAGAGCCCGCACTGGGAGCAAATCCCTGAGCCCCTTCCTGGTCCTGCAGCACCATCTGGATGAAACCAAGGCTGGTTGACTTCAGCTAAAGGAGTGACTTTGCTGCTCAGGGCACGAAGTTCTGCTGCTCCAGTTTTTGGAGAGAAAGCAGCAAAGCAGAACTTACATTCAGGCCATTTGGAGGATGAGGATTTAGAAGTGATGTGGCAACAGGGATCGCACTACACACCCAAACTCTCTCAGAGAGCATACACAGCAGGTTTTCCAGGTTAGACACCAGGATACCTCCAGTGTCAGGCACATCTATACACCTGTCTTGGGAATTTTTCCATGAAGATTGTACTGTTCTTTGTGAAAAATCAAGCATTACTTTTGGATAAAGCGTCAAAATGTAACACTTTTTAAAACATTCAGCATCTCATGTTAATGCAAATGTAACAGGAGTCCTGGTACAAGACACTTGGGCTGGACTGCCTGCTAGGAGCAGCTGGTATTTATGGAGCAACACTTCATAACAGCCACAGCTGGTTACACAGGATTTTCCTGGAAGAGATGACTCAAACTAACTCAAAGACTAAGCAAAGGCAACCCATTTTCTAAAACTCTTGCAAAGACGAGCTGGTCATCATGGCAAAGGGCTGGAGGGTGGGTTGGTGGGAGGATCCTTGCCCTGTGAGTCCTTGCCATGGAGACCAAGGTGCTCATTCTTCACGAGCATCACCTCAAACCAACAGCAGCAGAGAACTGCCAAGAAATGAGTTACCAGTAGAGCTGAGCAGGCTTGCTTTGATCCCAGGAATTCTGTAGCTCCTCAGTGCAGAACACCATTGCCCACTGCAATTCCTTCTGCTACGTAACCCAGATCTCAGACACAGCAGCAGTAACCTGAGACCCGAGGGGCTGCAGAGCCCGGGCACAGCGCTGCTGGCACTGCTGTGTTTTCAGGAAATGCTTCTAAAGACAAATGTTTACAGTTCACATTCACTGGTGACAAGCTCGCACACGCATCCCACAGACACGGAACCAACTCGGGCAAGCGGATTTACCCCTTCCAGCCAGAAAAAGGCACTGAGGGTGAGCAGGGTGGCTCAGCGTGTGCAGCCCGGGGAAATTCCGATGTTCTCGGTGATGTAGAGGGTGAAATCTGAAAGAGACACCTGTGCCCCCCTGCCCTTCACAGGGGCTGATGAACACGAGCATTCATACACAGGACAGATGCAGAGATAGAACCACCTTGTTCCCTGGTGCTTACTGAGTCAACGGGGAAATTCGGAAAAAACCCTCACTGTGTTTAAAATTACTTTTTTCCTATATATATTGATCGAGAAAAATGAAAATACTCTAACCCACTGGACTACTTTCAAAAATAATTTTAATATTGAGATCATTCTGGATGTCAGTAACAACAAGCATTATGATGTCTGCTAATTTTGTGGATTTTGGGGAGTCCTCTACCTAGGCACTCGAGATATACAGATGCAAGGGTAGAGTTTATTATCTGTCAGTCTATTCTATCTGCTGGATGAGGAGTTTATCCCAGAGCACCGTGCAAAAGCAGGGAGCTGAAGCATTGCAAGGCAAATAGCCGGAGGAACATTCCAGAGAGACTTTAGGTTGAGGGATCCAGGAAAAACAGAGCGCCAGCTAATATACAGCACTGCTCAGCAAAACAACAAGTGCACTGGGCCACAGGAATAAAAGGGACAGGGAGAAAAACCAAGGAGGATTAGCAAAACCTGAGGCAGGAAACCAATAGACATATTCAGGTGTTCATTTTGGGCCCTCATGACAAGAAGGACATTAAAGCACTGGGGCATGTCCAGGGAAGGGAACAGAGCTGGGAAGGGTCTGGAGCACCAGGAGCAGCTGAAGGAGCTGGAGAGGCTCAGCCTGGAGAAAAGGAGGCTCAGAAGGGACCTTCTCACTCTCTGCAACTCCCTGACAGGAGGTTGGAGCCAGGAGGGGTTCAGACTCTGCTCCCAGGGAAAAAGTGACAGGATGAGAGGAAATGGCCTCAGGTTGCACCAGTGGAGATTCGGGTTGGATACTGGGGAGAATTTCTACATCAGAAAGGCTGTCCAGCCCTGGCACAGCTGCCCAGGGCAGTTGGAGTCCCCATCCCTGGAGGGACTTAAAAGCTATGTGGATCTTGCACCTGGGGACGTGGGTTAGTGGTGGCCTTGGCACTGCTGGGGAAGGGTTGGACTCAGTGATCTTAGAGGGCTTTTCCAACATAAATGATTATGGGATTCCACTTCAGCCTTTTCCCCTCACCAAACTCCCATTACTCTTGTCTCAAAACACGTCCCATTCTTGCTGGGGAGCAAGACCAGGTGCTGATGTATTTTCTCCACTCAATAGTCAACTACAGCAGCCAAGCACATCTGCACTCCTCGAGCTGTTGTAGCCCCTAAGGAGCCACTGTCCCCCTCCCACCACGTGGGACCTCCTGCACACCCGACCAAGGAGCTCAGACCCTGCAAGGGAGACTTCTGATGTGCAGCAATGGGACCCAACTTGCTGTTGGGTTAATGCCTCGGAACACACCTACAGCACAAAGAGAGCTGAACCCAATTATTATTTCTGTTCCAGAGCGGGGGCAGAGACCTGCCCTGATTACCTGGGAAGCCGATTTCAGCAACAAAGATCTAATAACTCATTTTACGACGCGATGTGACAAATGTAATTATAAGAGAGAAAGGGGCTGAAGGTTACAGCCATGATGTGGCAGTCACCCAAGCTGTCAGCGTGCACCACCTGATTCCCAGAGAGCCTCCTGCAAGAGCCAAACCCTCCTCATGGAGCTGGCTCTCCATCACCATTGTGCTAACCTATGCCGTCGCTAATAACAGCTCTCCCACAGCCCCAGCATTCCTGGCTTGGGAAGCATCATTTACAGACAATGAGTATCATCATAATGTATGAGCATCCATGTAATGGGAATTACATGCCCCTTTTCCTCCCCAGGGGTTAGCATTTCTCCGTTTCTCTGCTATTCCCCACAGGCACTGACCTTCTGGGCTCCTCTTCTTCCCAGCAAGGTGAAACAGCTCCTGACAGCATCAGCTGCTAAGACAGACAGCTTCAAACAAATAATCCGTCAATAAAAGTTCAAAGCTATCCTGAAATGCCTAAAAATTTAGTGCAGTGGCTGTACAGAGCGAGGTAATATCGGGCAGCTGGAACCTAAATCCATTGTTCTGATACAAAAATTGCCCTTGACGATATACATATATTATGAACTGTGAAACCTGCTGACTTCAGTGACACAAAAGGCATGCAGAGGAAACCAGATTGGTAAGTTAGTATTTAAAAAAAAGGTGTCAAAATGTTTCTGCTCGCTCTGTGTAACCTTGCAGAGCAGGGTTGGAAGGACACTTGTGGGACAGCACCAGCTTCCCACGGAGTGTGGCCACACAGAGCCAGCCACGGACACTCACCTTAATCAGCACTGACAAGTAACTAGGTTGAGGATTGTGTTAAATTCAGCCTTTGGCAGAAAATATTTGGAACTTGAAGTTTCTGTGCCTCAGAGAGCCCAAACAGAATCAATTTCCACTGAGCACAGTGATCAGGGAACAAGGTGTTGGATAGTCTGGATGAAAGCCTATCCAGGATTTCTGAAATTAGATGTCCAAACATTCACATGTGGAAGCATTTCTATTCGCCCACAAACACAGGGGTAACAAATCTAACAACTCTTCCTATTTGTTGGGGAAACCTGGGAAAAACTACTCAGGCCGTTACGGTACAAAGTACACGGATGTCAGCATGGACTTTCCAAAAGCTTGTTCCACAGGCTTTCCATTGATCTGTTTGCTTTCAAAACATAAATTTCCTCAGGTTGAACTGCACTAAATGCTATTT